ATTTTAGAATAGGATCTTTTATGTAGCCCAACTCATGCAGTTAAACGGCATAAAATGAAGCTTAACAATTCGAGGGTATTTCCTAGCTACCAGAAGAATGAAGCTAACTCTAACATTTAGCACCTTCCTTTCGGAATTAGAATCAAACAAAGGAGATAGTTTATTAATACTAGTTTTCTCTTTAGCAGCATGAACAATCTGGTATTCCCCTTCCTTACTCGCTTCGTTCTTTAGTGTCCGAGCTCTTTTCGAGAGAGCAAGAAAAAACGCATATTTAGTGAAAGGCGTGACTTTCGCGCATCCGTTTTCTTGCTGGAACAAAGCATCTGTTTGTAAGTTGCTTTGGAATTTAGCAAACAAAAAAGACAAGGTCTGGGTCAGGTGGATTCATGAGTACTATATCAAAGGGAGAGACATCACTCAAATGGAAGCGGGAGTTCATTTCGGTCACGGTACTCGAAAAATGGAATCCTAGAATGGTGCCTTATATCTCTACAAAATGTAAGGGTATTCAGATTCTATCTCAATTAGGTGAGGGGTGTGCAATCCCTGTGAATAGGGTCCCCCACCTTCAAAGAGAATCAATAACATCTTCTCCTGGTAGGAAGTAGGTTTCGAAGCTGTATGAAAAGACAGAGTCAAGAAAAGGTTGTGAGCAGTCTCAAGGGAAGCCCGAATAGCGGATAGTTTGAACGGTGGAAAGCAGCCTAGGAAAGATTTCTCCAGGTAGGAAATATATATAGGTTTCTATAAGCGAGCACGAGGGTAGTGGGGAATCGTCGAGTTAAGGTACGTAGTCGCTTAAGCGAAGGTTAAGGAGTGAAAAGCGCGGAAGAGAGAGATTTCTCTCGTTAGTCCAGGCATGATTGCCGCGGGTTGTGGCCCACCCGACGGACTTCCCTGGATGTAGTCAGCGTTAAGTCTATGTCACACAGGGCACCAATCAATTTCGTTGGGAAGATGGCAAGGATGAAAGAAGGATATCGAGAGAGATGGGAAAAGAGTACAGAAGCGAGAGCGGGCTATAGCTTGAATTGGCTCGTGCACACACACATGAAACTTAAGAAGGGGAGGGCTTTTCCAGCTAGAAAAAAAGCAACCAACAAAGCCAGACAGCAAGAAAGAGAGTGGGGCAGTCTCATCCCATGAAAGGTAAGGAAGGACTGCAGCTTTCCCGAGTGGAAGAGGTTCAATTCAATAGTTCCGACTCTGACTTTGAAGCCCGGCCGGGTGAAGAAGCCTCAGCCCGAGCAAGGTTAAGGAAAGGCTGGCTTCCCTTGCTGAAGGAAGGGCTGTCCGAAGTAAAGGAGTTTATGCCAAGCAAGCTAGGGTCGGTTCGTATTGACAAAGAGCTGGACTTCTTAACTTTCAATGGTGTTCTGTAGCTGTCTTCTCTCTCTATGGGTAAGTAGCTATTCCTTTATTCGCCGCTGGAAGAGATCCCAACTATGCTTCCCTCTAACGATAGAAGTGGAATCAGAGCTCCTTGACAAAAAGCTTGAATACAGAAAGATAAGATCAACACTGAATGCTTTCTATTATAGAAGTTGCGCCTAATGCTTAACTAACTATTAGCAACTATATTAGATAAAGAGTGAATCTGTACATTACTATATGCTAGTAAGCACTTTATTAGGGTTAGGGTATGAAGGGGAAGCACATAACTAATAGGGTTCAGGCTTATACGATGAATCTTATCCCCCGAAGCCCCTATCGCCTGCCTGGAATTCCTTACTTTACTCTTTCACTAGAGGCCTAAAATAAAGCCTTTTTTTCTAAACTTGTGTTAGGCCTACCTATATCAGACAGCTTTCATTGGCTGGCCTTTTTACAAAATAGAAATTCCCTTCTATAATTAGATAACTGTATAAAGAAGACATAAAATGCTGGCTAGATGACTAAGGAAAGTAATAGATGTCCTTGTTTCTACCCTTCCCTGACTCGACGGCATCAAACACATAGTTCTTATCCAACAACGAAAACAGGCTGGCTAACGATGAGAGGAAAACAACAAAAAGAACTACCGCTAACAGGACAACTAACTCGCTTCACTAAGGGCAAGGAGCTAAAACCACTCAATTCTTTTCTTTGTGAAATTAAGGAGAGCAGCCAGCTGCAAGGAGTATTGAATCAATCAGGTACTGTCTACTGTCTTTAGCTTCACTGTCTTTAACTACACTATCTCCGGCCGGCCGGGCAGGATTGAATTAATCAGGTAGTTTTTCTATCTCTTTGCATTACTTCTTCTCCTAGTCTTATTCCAACCTGAGAGTTTCACGGATGCTAGACGATATCCTTGGGGACATCGCCTAGTAGTAAGGCGGGATATCCACCCGGACATCCCTTACCGAAGGAAGCAACTGGAAAGAAAGAAGCTGTTAGCTAGATGGAGTAGTCTTACTTAGCAGCACAGTCTTTAACAGCTTATGCCTAAGGCTCAAAGGCTTTAGCAGCAAGCTGTTTAGTAGCTGGAGTATGCTTACTAGCTTTAGCAACGGGTTTAAGACAGATATGGCTTATTTAACAGCTGGTCTTACTAGCTTTACTGCTTAGTCTAATAGCTTATGCTTCTAACTACACTATCTCCGGACAGGCTAAGCTCCTTCTGGCCAGACAGTATGGTTTTATTAAACTAGCGTGGGTTAACGAAGTGTACTCTTAAGCTACGTATCTGGTTTCTTAGAATCTGTCTTAGTTACATCGCTTTCTTCTTTATCTAATTGAGTGCTTTCTTCAGTAAGAGTAGTCTCTATATTAATACCCAAATATTCAATCTTTTTTATCTCTTCTACTATCACACCATCCATTCTCTTTTCACTCTCTCTTTCCTTCTGAGACAACTTCTCATTAAGAAGAGTATTCGTTGTCTGCAGTTTCATTAGCTTTTTAAAAAGTGATTTGGCTACCCCACACATATCATTGACTTCAATGGGTAAAGTCTCTCCATCAGGTTGAGTAATCCTCTTACTGTTCAGTTTAATCCCCAAACTGTAATCATATTCTTTAACACCGACAGTCTGGTTGTCCCAATCAATCCCGAATTCATTTTTGATTTGGACTTTCATCCTACGAGAAGGGTTAGCGAGCTGTTCTCTGAACCAAGAAATATCCACCAGGTGTTTTGCTGGTCCTTTGAACTTAATTACATTTGTGTCTTCTTCGGAAATATAGCCATATGCTTTTGGCGCCAAAAAGTATCCTTCTTTGATTTTATCTTCTAATTTAAACAACCCTAAGACTTTGGAAGATATTAAGCCCTCTGGAAGAGGATTGGCAAGAACGATAGAGTCTGTGTCTGTGTAGTAGCAGTCATCCCTTGATATAAATGGGTGCATGTAGATCCTAGCGCATGCAGTGATTGCGGCGGAAAGTTGAACTGCGGAGTTCTTAGGCTGAGCCCAATGAATGTTATCATCAGCCGTAACAGTATGATAGGATACCATGTATAGGTTTTCTATAATCGGATGAAAACCAATGAAGGAATCTTGTTTCATCAAAAAGTGATAGCGCTCGCTATCGCATAACTCCGTTTTAGTGCTATTTGGGTTGATACCAAATCTTCCATAGAGCGAATTCATAAGGATTTTATAAACAAATGACAAAGCTTCATTTCCATCTTTCTTTGCCTGTAATCGACTATCGAAGTGAGAATTCACATATTCTATGAAAGGGCTTTCCTTCTTCTCGAAGAGGTACCCACTGACTGGAATCACAGTGTAGCCTATGTCTCTTGCATACTTTAACTCCTCGCTATAGTATACACCAACAAAATCACCCGTGGGGAAGAGAAGTGTACCATCTTTTCCCCGAACGGGGAGAAAAGGTTTTTTGACTGAAGAAGGGCATGACACAAAAGCCTCTATAAATCCAAATAGGCTATCTATGTCCTTATCAACCAGATTACCATCCCAGACTGGCTTACCTCCTGGCATGGGACATTTTTTCATAATGAACGGATAGAGTGAGTTCACATCATAGTAGAATAGGTTTCTACCCAATTTCTTGTAAGCGTCTGTATGACCTCCATAGTATCCACGACGAATGAAGGTATCTTCATTCCGATTAGGGATGTGGATGGGGAATGATTGATCATCGTAAAACTGCTTGCGAAAGATTTTCAGAGCCATAGCTGAACAAGTGAGCACGCTCACAATGTCCACCTTGTAGTGTGTCCAATACAACCTTTGGGCATTTTGCATTACACCCCCAAGAAGACGTATGTCTTGCTCCATATACATTAACACGCTAGCTCTCATCTTACCCAAATTTTCGACTGTCACTTTTTTATGATCAAAAGAACCCTTACTACCAAGACCAGGGCATAGACTCTTAGCAAGGCTATCTAGCTTTCCTGGAAGGAGATGCAGAGAGTCACGAAAGCTAAAGATTCTTTTATTACCCGCGTATACTGCTAATTCATAAATTCTATTATTCCTCATAAGAGGTTTTAGCCTAAAATTGGAATGATGTAACGCTAGGTGCTTCAGGATAAAAATCCCATCGAATCGTGAGAAGTTGTGGAAGTACACGGTTTGTATTGCTGGGTTTTGTTTAATAATTGAAATAATCCTATGTATAAAGTCGCTAAGTAACTTAGAGCTCCTTGCTTGAAAGCTTTTGAAGACTTCTGAAGTGTAATCCTCGCTGAAGTATGAATCGATTCGACTATTGTTTTTGATGTTATCACCAGGATGAACCATCATAACACCGGCAGCATACGGTTGGTGAATTTCATCAAGTAAAAGAGTCTCAGTGTCGGCAACCAAGAACGGGTTTAACTCCTTAGAATTGCATTTAACAGGAGTTATACTGCTGTAATATGTTTTCTTACGATTTCTTATCTTTTTAGGTGTAATCGTTGGCAAAGAACCGACCTCTACTTGATTACGAAGGGCCTCCTCCAGTTGTTTAGTTCTGTCATCAGAAGAAACGGATAGAATTTCTATCTTTTTACCCGCCTCCGTGTAGAAGCGAATCCCGACTCTAGGCACTAGTTCCCCCACGTATGACTCACCTTTATATAAAATACGACTATAAATATGACCTAAAACCTCACCCTTTGGTAAAGGTGTCCCATCACCCAAAGTCAATGGTATAGCCTTTCCTTCTACAAATGATAATAAATCCTCCTTGCTCTCTCTCCTACGCTCTTCCATAGCTCCCTTGCTTCCTGGAACTACAGGAAGATATAACTAGGAAGAGAAGACGATAAGACAATAGATGAAAGGTCTGCGTCTGCTCTAGTTCCTAGGTAAGAATACCACTATTATCTGTTAGATCTAGCCTTCTCTTTCCTTAAGCTTAACATAAGCGATTACATACCAAAAGCTTCGCTTAAGCGACTACGTTCCTTAAGGTTAAGCTACTACATATCCCCGGAAAAGACAAAGAAAAGGGTCTCCAAATGCTGACAATACCACTGCTACAACCACTGCTGCTCCTTCGTTGAACGAAACTGCTACGGTGAATGCCGCTGTTCCAGCCGTGAAACATGAAGACCGCTACTATTATCACTCCTCAGGGATAGAACTATTGCAGAAGAGACTTGATCAAATCGAGGGTGAGTTTGCTGAGTTCGAACGCCAAGTGTGCTGGCGCGAAGAGCGGGGCATGCCAACAGAGCCAGTCATAGAACGGATCCTGGATCTCGAGAAGGAACAAGAACAGCTCATCCAGCAAGTGAGAAGAGAGGAAGAGCGCTTGAGAAGGGAGGAGTTGCTAAACGAAGATGCTTCCTCCATATTGTTATGGTACCATAACACCCAATTGTTTTCTTTAAGCTTATGACCGTCTATAAATGAATCCTTCTTCAAAAATATGTTCTATTTATTGTCATCGCAGATCAAGGTTATCGTGCTTTTAGGGTTAATTCCAAACCTTCCGTACAGCGAATTCAAAAGGTTCTTAGGCAAGGGCGTCATTTCCTTCCTTCTTAGCCTTTAATCTTCTATTATATATAAAGAGTGCTAACATAGTCCTTGAACGGGCTTTCCTTCTTCTGGAAGAGGTAGCCTGAGAGCGGGATCACAGTGTAGCCTATGTCTCTTGCATACTTTAACTCCTCACTATAGTAGACACCAATAAAAGACCCCCCTTTTTTTTCCCGAAAGGGAAGGAAGGGTCTCTTTATAGTCTCGGGGCATTCCACATATGCCTCAATAAAGCCAAAGAGGCTATCTAAGTCCTTATCACCCAGATTTCCATGCCACTCAGGCTCACCTCCAGGCATCGGAAAATCATGCATTACATAAGGAGCAAGAAAACGGCTTTAGTGACTAACTAAAACGGCTTTCGCGTCACCCGGTGCTTGTTGGGAGTTAACGTCGTAGTACTTCATACGAAAGATGGTTAGAGCCACTGAAGAAAGAGTTACCTTGCATTCTATGTCGATCTTGTAGTTCTTCCAATATAACTCTTGGGCTTTTTGCACTACCTCACCAAAAATGTCATTTTTCATATATTCGATATACTCTTTTTTCTTAATAAGAAAATTTTCAAGGCTTACCTCGTCATAGGCGATAGAGCCTTTCCCGCCAATTCCCTTGCATAGATTCTTAGCTAGGACATGCAGCTTGCCAGGGAGTAGATGCAAGGAGTCTCTCCTGCGGAATAAGAGTCTATTACCTGTATAGACGGCTATCTCGTAGATTTTTTCCTCACCAGAGGTTTTAGCCTAAAATTGGAATGATGTAACGCTAGGTGCTTCACCAAGAAAATTCCATCGAATCGTGAGAAGTTATGGAAGTATACAGTTTGAATCGAAGGATTCTGCTTAATAATTGAAATTAACCTATAGACAAAGTGCGTAAGTAACTTATCCTTTCTTCAAAGCTTTTGAAGACTTTAGAAGTGTAATCCTCGCTGTAGTAGGTATAAATTCGACCTTTATCGATCACCACACCGGGACGAACCAGCAAGACACCTGCAGCATAAGGAAAATGAACTTTGGTCACATCCTCCTCACCGGTCTCGGGATCGGGAGTGGACTTGACATCTATTAGTATAGTCTCGGTATCGGCAACCAGGAAGGGTTTCAGCCTAGTTGAACCAGATTTCAGTGCTGTGATATGGGTTGGATAATTACGCTTCCGATATCGGAGAACTTTTGCCTTTCTTGGCTTGATATCCGTTAATATCGAACCTTTAAGAATTCGATAAGGATCTTTTCCCTAACCTCGGCAGAGAGGTACTGCGCCTCCTTTAATTTAGTCTCCAAAAAGACTCGGATTGTGACTCCAATAACCAAATATCCTTCGTATTTTTCGATCAAATCGATTATTCGTTCATTTAAAAGAGCATATATCTCACTCTTTGGAATTCACTTTCCATCTTCATAAGTTAAGTCAAGGCGATAGCACGACCAGCCGCAAAGGTGGTAGGTGTCCCGCCGGAGGTAAACATTGTAAATAAAACATTGAACTTAGCGTAATTCGAACCCGATAAGTAAGGGTAAGCACCCCGGAGTAAGAGATCCATGATAGCCAGACTGAGTTGATCAAAATCGCTAAAAGCGAAGTATGGCTCTTTGAAGGTATGAGAGGCTATGATTAGCCCTGGATGGGGGTGTTGGCATTTAGATCGGTCAACCCGGGAAATCATATGATTCAATAAGACGGAAGCTTCTTTTTGTCTGCTTTCCGCCGTTGTTGAATAAGCTCTGTTGATAAAATATCTCATTAATGGTGTAAACAATACTTTCCAGTGAGCTTTCTCTCAAAGCTCTCCCACCTTTCTTGATGGGCATTCCAACAAAGATTCTCGCCGCATACAGAATGACAATAGCCATAGTAGTGCTGTTTAAAACGCGAGACGTTAGCATTCCAGACTTTAAGTCTTCGTTTGTCATTTCTAATGTCCTCCGGTACCTCCAGACTAAAGAACTTGTCTAGCCTTTGGCTAGAGATTACACTCTGACAGACATCCTTTTCTGTCAAAGAATTATCCTCACCCGCACTTTCTCTATAGGGATTGAAATAAGATTCATCCAAATCATATTTCTGTATCTTTTCTCCTGACCGGGTCAAATATGTGAAAACCTTCTCAGTAGAATAGTAAACTCCTCATCTAAGTCAATAGAAGGGGCAGATGCTTTCTCTCTTCACGAGTCGTCTGGCTCTAGACTGACCCACCTTTTCCTACCCCCGAGCCGGCTACTGCTTTATCAAATCATTCCTTTTCGCGCACTACTTCACTTAACGGGCTATGCTACCTTGTGATTCTAGGAAGTCGGGGATTCCCTTTGCTATTTATTCTTCCTGTTCTTCGGGTCTCATCTGAACGGCTCGATGCCTATTTAGTTACTTTCTTTGTTTGGATTCCAGAATAGAACTACAGATCTTATCTTGGCCCCCTCCATTCGACCTTGTAAAAGGTCTCAATGGGGCCCTGCTCACAGCTCTCCATCTTATGCATCAAAAGGTTCAAGTAATCCATATTCTTCTTCCCCCCCCCTTGAAAGAACATCGGTAAGTTTGCATTAGTTCAGCCGGAGTAAAGGAACCAAGTACGAATGCTTTCAGTAGTTCTCCTAGGTTAGAAGGGGAAGGTGTTCGGGATAAGAGAAGCAGGAAGGTGCTAGAGAAAAGACCTCGAGAACGCCTACTTACTTGAGATCCAAGTCCTATTATTACCAGATCTTTCTTCTATTAAGGCAATGTAATTGAATATCACGTTTAGAGAATCTGATGAGGAATGGCCAATAGATGTATCTGAAGACGCAGTCTAAGGCTGACAAAAGCCCTTACTTTTTTTTTAAGTAAGCAAGTAGTAACTACCTTAGGATCAAATGCTCTTTTTCTTTCTTTTGTCTTGGATTGCCATTGTATATATACTCGAAAATGCGAGCTTTCTATCTCACTTCTTTGCTAGCTTGCAACTGCTCTTCTTACTAGCACTGAAACTCACTCGGCTGTCTAGCGCCTTGCCTCGATTCAAGCCTCGTTCTTCCTTCTCGGGCCTGAGATTCTAAAGGAAAGGAGTTTCCGGTACCAGCAAGAAAACGGCTTTAGTGACTAACTAAAACGGCTTTCGCGTCACCCGGTGCTTGTTCAAGGCTGTGGTGAGGCTCCTTTTTATTTCACAAAATATACTCTTCCACTTCTATATACTATATACACTGTGTTCGACTGAACCCGTTCTCGTTTTGGCTCTGCGTTCATGAAATTCAAAGACCAACAACAGAAAGCAAATTCTTCGATCTAAATTTAAGGTAGTTTCTACTTGCTTACTTGTTAGAGTAAGGCGTATGGAATTGATTCATCTCTAGTACTGAGGGAAGGGGAATCCAGCAAGGTTTTGGCTCGCAATAAAGCTAGGGTCCTGATCGAGCAACTAGTAGTCCTATCTATCCACCTCTCCAGACACAATATCTTGAGTACCTATGATGGTGACCACATCGGCTGGCATGTGATGTTTGGACATAGAATCGAGTCCTTGTGAATGGGCAGAGCCAGGTGCTCTTATTTTACGACGGTAAGGACGATTGCTTCCATTACTGACCAGAAAGACACCAAATTCTCCTTTAGGTGCTTCAACTGCGGTATAGGTAGAAGGAGCTGGTACGGAAAAACCTTCTGTATAAGGTTCGAAATGGTGAATTGAGGTAGAGTAGACCGATGATCCTGTAGTCATTTGGCCGGCTATTGAAAGAAAAAGCTTGCATCTGCTCTCTTTATTATATAACCGGTCTCATCTCTCTCCAAACCTAACGTGATAGTTTCCCATCATAAGGCTTTCTATCTATAGATTAAGCCATTACCAAGGAGCTAATTTGTTCAGAACTCGGTTGACTGCTTCTATAGATAAGGCGGAGCGTCCTTGGCTCAGTATTTTCTCACATAGGGCTTCGGCCTACAGGGCTTCGCTAACTCGAAGCGCCCCGCTATGACTATGAGAATGGCGCTTTGCTAAGGCCTTGCCTTGTCAGCTTTGCTACCGACGCTTGGCTAAGTCTTGAACCTTCGCGCTGACCGTTCGCTTTCTCAGTAGCAAAAGCGCTTCTCTTTGCCCCTTAAGTAGAAAGACAAGAAAGAATTTTTGTGTTTTCTTGCTCTCGCTTCCTCATCTGCGCTCGTCAAGCCAACTTTCCTCTTTGGTTTGGGAGGTGAAACAGCGGTTGAAGCGGACATTTTGAAATAACTGCATCAAAGAGAGATATATATATATATATACACGGTTACGGTTATCCCAAACTGCGTTCTGGAAAAAGTGGCCTACTTGAGGGCACTCTTGTGTTTTAACCTCACTATACTATTCATAGTTGTGGGGCACTGTGTACTTACAACTTTTACGAGAAGCAAGTGAATGGGGCCAGTGCGTGGCGAACGGAACGCTTCATCAAGTCATTTCTCGCCTCACCGCCCTATAAATAATAGGAAGAAGGGTACTTTTTAGGGGTAATTGCTTCGCACCTGACTGTGATAGCCCTCTCGATACCTTATTTGAGCTTTGTTACTAGTGGCCGCTTTCCTGTCGCTAGAGCGCTTTCCCAGTGCACGGAGCCTCAACGAGGAAGGTGCTAGTGGTTTATCATTGGGTCAATAACCCTTCCCGGTTCCTCTTTTTGTGCTACTCCTAGGGCGGGAAAAAGATAAGAAAACACAAAGCCTTCTCTTGCTTTCCCAGCCTGTTGCTTCTAAAGACTGCCCTCTCTCGGCTGGATGTTGGCCCAGCCTACTATAAGGATCCCGTATCCAGCAACCCAACCTATACAAAGAAAAACTTCTGTTTTGTTTTTCCTTAACTAGTAGGGGTCCCGTGGTTCCTATGACGCCGCGTTTCCCGGTCCTTTTCTTTTAGTGCTTCGACCCAAAGCGATAGCTTCTAGCTAGTTCAGTGGATAAGATGGCTGCGCTCCAGCTCACTCAAGAATGGGACGGCAGTGGTCCGCCGGCAAGCTCGTTCTGATCTTGGACGCAGTACATTGGAATCCTGAAGCACCACCACGAACGCTACCGCGCGTCCGCCTGCGGTGCGGTAAGGCACCACCTGTTGTGCCAGCAGCCAACTCCGGCGTGTCAGCTTAGTTATCCTCATCAAGCCACTTACTTGATGTCTAGCTTTCCAACTGGTAGACGCTTTCTTTTCCCCCGGATCAATGAAGAAGAAAGAACTAAGTAGATTCTTCCTAAGAACCGGAAGCGAAGCGCTATGCCGGGGCGGGGGGACGAGAAAAGAAAGGGCTCCGAAGAGAGAAATTTAGGTTCCCAATGCTTCTCCACGCCCAACGAGATGCGCCAACCTCGGGATGCTTTACTCCTAACCCCACATGGTTCCGAGACGGAGCTTAACCTGAGTCTCGGTTAAGAACGGCAATGATCTACGTTTCGCACGGCGCACGATTCCATGGATAGTTTCATTCGATATCGTGATGGAGGACATAGCTTACGATCATCGGCTTTGATCATGCCACTAGGCATTTGATTAAGACATTGCACAATGATCCGAACACTTTGTCGCATCTCTTCGATACGGATACAGTAACGATCATAGCGATCTCCTCTGGTACCTACTGGTACGTCAAAATCCAATTGGTCATAAACATCGTAAGGTGCTGCTCTTCGCAAATCCCAGCATACCCCTGGTTGGGATGGGTAGGCCCACCACTTCACTTTCGCTTAGGCCCGAGCCAAGTCAGTGGGGGGCCCTGTCGGGCTCCTCCCCCCCCCAAAAAAAAACAAACTGTACTTGAGAGTTTCCCTTCATACGGCTCGAATCATTCTCAGATGCCCCGAGAGGGCATCCTTTCCTTCTTTGTTGGGTTGGTTCACGCGCGCGCAAACGAGCACCGGCCGCAACAGCAGGAAACTATGACCAATAGAGTCAGACACTTAACTACATCCGCACGCAAAAGGAATGAATGTGGTTCTGGTTGAGGCTTTCTTTCCCCTGCCTTACTAATAAGGGGGGCGCAGGACGTTCGCGGAGTCCATGCCTTCCGTACCACCACAAGAATGGTCGTTCTTGGGGGGATCCCGCTCCTAAACATAAGGGTAAGGGGGCCGGGCCTATCATATCAAAAGGGTTGTAAAAAGATAACCCGGCCACTTATTTCATTCGACGTTCCGGGGTAAGGACCGCCCGATTCGACCAACTTTATGATAACAAGAAGGCGAGCTGATCTGCTTTGATCAAGGAAAAAGCCCAGTCAGCCACCAACTCGGTGCAGGTCACGTGACCTACACGGCCTTCGCTTTTTGAGGCTTCCTTTACCCACATCTCTATGTGCCCGCAGCACTTCCATATGGAGAAAGATAGGCTTACCATGTTCCATCAATAGCACTTAACCTATGCCGATTTTGGCGGACTGTGCTCCACCCCGGTGAACTCATGCGGTTCCGACGTGCCCAGAGGCCAGAGGCGAATCCGTTCACGGTCCTACGGACCAACACCATTCGAAGGCGGGTGGCCCGCCCCACCTAGAACAGTCATGTTTGACTGGGCTTACACACATTCGCTCACTTACGCTGTCCCCCCTCAGCTCACCCTAGCCCGGGCCTTCTTCTAACGTAAGCTCCAAGGCTTCACACCAAGTCTTCACTGACATAATATGCATGCTTTAGTAGGGTCAGGCAGAACCGCTGTTGCCTGATGGGAACTTCCCCCATATTGCTATCAATGTCTTCATGTCGCACGACCTCTTAACATTACACCACTGAATCCCCAATCCTTTGCTTGCTGCGCAGTGACAGTACCAATATCCACTAATCGTTGTTTCCAGATACGGTTGCCGGTTGACATCTCTTCTAATTCGTCGATACGAGAAGCAAATTGTTGTGTGGAGGAATCAATATCTCGACATAAGCCAAGAGGCAGATCTTGTGCCACTCCACCTGGTCGTATGAAACTGGCATGCATCCTGGCTCCCGGGACTCTTTCATAGAATTCCAACAATTTCTCTCGCTCCTCAAAAGCCCACAGGAACGGAGTTAATGCTCCCACATCCATAGCATGAGTAGTTAAAGCAAGTGAATGATTTGAAATTCGAGTTATTTCACGGAATAACACTCGTATATATTGAGCTCGTAATGGTACCTCGCAATTCAAAAGTCTCTCTACGGCTGAAGAATGAGCGTGTTCTTGGGCCATCATAGAAACATAGATAGGGTCGACGACGGAACGAAGAACTCACCCCTAGATACAGCTTTTTCGTACACGTTCACTTGCATCACATACACAAGTGCTCTCTGAACCGTGCAATAAGGTCACCCATAACACGGCTCTCCTACTTGAGTTACTTTAGCCCCAGGTCATGCTATTCAATGATATTGTAAAAATGACAGCATAACCTAACAACTAGTATTGAAAACGGGTCTCCCTTTGATTGAGGGAGGTTGACGTCTAGTCAATAGGGCCCCCACTTTCCAATCACTAAGAAAAAAGAAATTTTAAAAACTATCTAAGTAAAGCTTGTCTGTTATTTTTTCTGGCCCCAAGGGAGTTTACTC